ACTTCCCCCCCGCCCCCCCCCCTTCCCCCCGCGGCAGGAGGAGGAGGAGGAGGAGGATGAGGATGAGGAGAGGATTAGGGGGAGGAAGACAAGGAGGGTTTTCTCTGTCTCTCTTGTTGAGACTCCTGTTGTGATCGAGCAGGAAGGTCAACCTCCCTCGCAGAGTGTCCTGTGGATGTTCTGCTGCGAGGCGGAAAGGTGGCTCAAGGGTTCTGCTTCCCACGTTGTGGTGCTCTACATCGACTTGAAGAACGAGAAGCTGCTTGTGCGATAGACCAGACAACTTTTTGAGGGGACAGGCGCTGAGTGTTGGAGCAGGGACTCGTTGCTTGTTCTCTACTCCTTCACATGAGAATCTACTCGTCAGCACAGGAAGCAGCCAACATGTACAGCATGGTGAGGTGAACAAGTGGTTGTGTATGGGAGTGACTTTGATGCGGGAAGCTCCGGTTCGTCGACCCCAATTATCCGTTTCCCAAGAGGTGATTTCACGTGTTATTATACGAAATGTTATGCCATGATGTGATGTGATGTGATGTGATGTGATGTGATGTGATGTGATGTGATGTGATGTGATGTGATGTGATGTGATGTGATGTGATGTGATGTGATGTGATGTGATGTGATGTGATGTGATGTAATGTGATTTGAGATGACGTAATCTTGTGCCGTGGAATCTTGGTAAACGATATGATATCATGTGATATAAGACCGGAGGGAAGAGGAGTGAGCATGGAGCTGGTGGCTAGCAGGGGAGGAGGAATAAGATGGAATGGCTCTCCCTCCATCTTGTTCTCACCAGCTCGCAGTTATGTTCGTCTCCTGGGATTCTTCATGAAGCTCAACGTCTCATCGCCCGACAAGGCTCCTGCCGATCCACCTCGCAAGCGTCTCCGCAGCATCATGGTGATGAGGGTGAAGAGGGCAGTTGACGCTCTTTGTGAGACGTGCATCAGCTCCATCGAGCGTCGACCTTCAGCCTTCACGACAACCAGTCCAGCTTTCTCTTCTTCCGCATCAAGAACTCAGGTCTCACGGCTAGATCCCTCCTGCCCTCCCCTCGTTTCCTGCCATGCCCTTCTCCGCCCTCTCTCCCATCTGACCCTCGACATTAGGCAACCTCTTCACCTCTAGCGCCATGTCGGACGCCAACAGCGTAACAGGTTTCGACGCCACCATGTTCTCCATGAGGTGAGCTGCAGTGACATCCCCGGGCCCGGACGTCACTCAGTCTCCCGGCAGGCCGCACGTGGTCGTGCAAGGTGAAGTTCTAGTCGAGTGTCTGGCGAGAGGAAGGTGAGTAAGGACACTGGGCTGCTCTGACTCAGTGACCGGGCCCAGACCCGGGTTGAAGTGACCGGGCCCGGACTTGACTTGTGCCGCTAGGGTACTTTTCTCATCGTTACTGTCAACGTCAGCTTGCAGCGAGCGGGAAGTGCTTTCTGGTAACGAGAGGAGGATGGTGAGCTGGTGCTGACGACAGTCAGACTTTGAGCTGGACTGGACGGCAGAAGGGCAAAAGTTTGCCAAGAAGAACATCTCTATCGAGCTTGCTTTCGATGTAAGCTGCCTTCGTCATTCTTCCTTTTTGTCGTCTTCTTAACTCTGCTGTCTTTCCACTCATCTTGTGTTCCCTTGCAGGACCTCATTAGTCAGAGGTAAAATCGCTCACTCTGACCCCTGTGGCCCTTCTCGCTTCTCGCTTTTTGCTTCTCTCTCCCACCTTTCTTCCTCCTTCCTCCTCCCTCCCCCCCTCTCCCTCCTCCCTTCGTCCTCTCTCTCTCTCTCTCTCTCTCTCTCTCTCTCTCTCTCTCTCTCTCTCTCTCTCTCTCTCTCTCTCTCTCTCTCTCTCTCTCTCTCTCTCTCTCTCTCTCTCTCTCTCTCTCTCTCTCTCTCTCTCTCTCTCTCTCTCTCTCTCTCTCTCTCTCTCCCTCCCTCCAGCTTTCGACTTCTCTCCGTGCTGCCTCTTTCCTCCCGGCTCCTTTGCTGCACCCCAACCTTGCCTCGTTGTCCCTGCCGTTCCTTCCTGCCCCTCCCGTCTCACCCCAACATCGCAGAGCTCTACAACAGACCTCACCAACCGCCGCCGCTGCTCAGCTTACAGGTTCCTCCTCCCTCATAACCCTCCTCCGCGTTCTCTTTACCATCCTCATCTCCGTCTCCCTCTCCTTTTTCCTTACTCTCTCCCATCTCTTTCTCTTACCTGCTCCTGCTCAACGTTTCCATCCTTACTGTAGCCATCCTCGACCGCTGCCTCCCTATCTCGGCCCCTCCTTCTGAACTTTCTCCATACAGCTCCACGTCCAATCAGTTCTCCAGTCTTCCCACCGACAAGCTTGTGGCAGCAAGAGCGGGAACTGGAGCGGGAGCGGGAGAGGGAGAGGGAGCGGGAGAGGGAGAGGGAGAGGGAGAGGGAGAGGGAGAGGGAAAGGGAGAGGGATGGGGATGATTTGAAGGAGCGAGTGAAAGAGCGAGGCGAACAAAGGGAGCGGGTGAAGGAGTTGGAGCGACTACAGACCCACCCGCAGCAGCAGCCGCCCGAGTACGAGCGGCAGGGACGGAAAGATCTCCCTGCTCCCGACGAGAAACGGAGAGTTCGTATTGACGTCCCTTTGGATGCTCCCGTGCTGGACGAGAAGAAGCAGCCCCCTGCTCGCACACCCCAGGTTCCATGGACGAGAGGAGAGGAGGAGAGGAGGAGAGGAGGAGAGGAGGAGAGGAGGAGAGGAGGAGAGGAGGAGAGGAGGAGAGGAGGAGAGGAGGAGAGGAGAGGAGGAGATAGCAGATGAGGGAAGAGCAAGAGTGGATGCGATCACAGGTAGAGAGGAGAGATTGAAAGCCTGTGGAACGCGAGGAGAAAGAGGCGGGAAACCGGAAAGGAAAAGGACGTCTAGGAGGGGTGTCAAGTACCTTGAGCAGAACTTGGAGGAGGAGGAGGAGGAGGAGGAGGAGGAGGAGGACGAGGAGGACAGGAGCATCGGTGCATGGGGTGATAGAACATGACAGGTTGGCCTTGGAATCACTTTCCACAAGAACGACGGGAGGCAAGGGATGGTGGTCAAGCGAATCAAAGCTGTAAGAGGAAGAGATTTGTGATGGGGTTGGGAATGGAATGAGGCAAAAGAACAAAGAGGGAGTGAGGGAGGAAGCGGGAGGGAGGGAGAAGGAGAGGAGGAGACGACCGTGAGAAGGAGAAGAGGGACGGGAAAGGAAGTAGGAAGGACGAAGAGCAGGGAGGAGGAGGAGGAGGGATCATGGAGATTCTGAAAGATTGTCAGGGGAGTGGAGCAGAACAATGCGGACAAATCTTCCCAGGTTGAGAGAGGCAGAGAACTTATCTTGAATCCCACGCTGCCCTTCTACTTATCCTCCTCCTCTCATCTTTTCTTCTCATTTTGATCCCCGTGTGATCTCATCCTTTCATTTTCCTGCTCCCCGTCTTCTTCCCATCCTTACTCTCCCCTCCTTCCCTCCTCCAACCGTCTCTCTCCCTCTCCTCTCTTTCTCTCTTCTGAAAATCTTGTTACCCCCTTTCTCCTCTTCTCCCCCCCCCCTTTCTCCTTCTCCTACGACTCCCATCTCTCTTCTTCTCCCCATCTCGTTCCCTGTCTTCTCCTCTCCTCTCCTCTCCTCTCCTCTCCTCTCCTCTCCTCTCCTCTCCTCTCCCCTCCTCCCCTCTCCTTTCTCTCACCCTGCTCCCTCAGGGGATCGCGTTCTCACCATCGATAAGGAGGAGCTCATACCTTTCATGAAAACCTCCAACCTCGCCCGCCTCGTCCTCGGTCAACCATACTCCACCGTGAGTCCCTTTGACTCCTCCGACTGCTCTCCTGCTCTCCTCCCTGTCGCCTATCCTCTCCCTTCCTCCTGTTCTCCCCTGTTCCCTCTGCCTCTCTCCGCCTCCTTCGCTCTTCTCTCCTCCCATTTCTTGTTGCCTTCAGCCTCTCACCTTGTTCCGCTCAGGCGACCTTGACGGTCAGAAAAATAGTCACAAGTCCTCATCGATGTGGAGGTCAACCCTCCTCCTCTTCCTCCTTTTCGTCCTTTATCCTCTTCCTCCTCCTCTTCCCTTCCTTCCTCCTCCTCCTCCCTCCCCATCCTTTTCCTCCTCCTCCTCCTCCTCCTCCTCCTCCTCTTCCTTCCTTCATAACCCCCCTCATACCACATACCCTTCTTCACTGCTCCGTCCTTCTCTCACATCCTCTTCTTCTCCCCCCTCCTCTTCTTCTCCCCCCTCATCGTCTTCTCACCCTCTTGCTCGTCTGAACTCGCGCAGGTTCTCCGCATTCCTTCCATCACAGGCCTCGAGGGCTCCCTGGACGAGGGCTCCGTCATGTCTTCCTCCTCCTTCGACGCCGCTGCGCACAATTTGTCTTCATCCTTCGACTTTCAGCGCGAGAGGTTCTGTGCTGT